AGAACATAAACCCGATGTGTTCAAACAGGACAGTCTCAGCCGCCAGAACTGCTCTACGAACAATTTCGTGGAAGCCGCAAAAGGCTCTTAGAACACTCTTTGGTGGAGCTATACAGGCGAGCCACAACGCTTCGTCACTGCTTGGTCCTTCTCTGAGGGGCAACGATAGAGGGGGACTGGCATAGGGGGGGATGCATCGACCTGGAATCGGCGATACATCGCCGATAGATCGGCGATGGCCCTCCGATGGGGAATCCGCACCTTCCTGGGCAGGTTGGGGCTATCGGGCCCCTATCGGCGATCAATGGGCGATTGGGGGTCGATGCATCCCCCCTATGCCTACCCCCCCTATCGTTGCCCCTGATCGGGGATCCTCTGACCCGGGTCAATCCAGACCCGGGTCAGCAGGAAACCAAAAACTGCAATGCAGAACAAAAAACTGCAACGCAGGTCTTCGTACACCCGGGTCAGCCAATAGGCGCGGCCGCCTCGCGGCCACGAGCGGCTCGCTGACCCGGGTCAGCCAGGGGGGGCCTTCGCAGGATCCTGCAGGATCTGGCGCCCTGGCCGACCCCCGTTTGCAGCGACCCCCGTGACTTGAGCCCCGACCTGGAACACGCAAAGAAATACACACAAATAAAAATATTCCCCATATTTTGCCATATGTTCTGACGTTCTGTCTTCCCCCCCACTGCCCATATCTTCCCAAATTCTCTGGGGAATCGACGATTCATCGTGTCCGTGTGATTGTTCCCCTCCTGACCTATGCCTAGCCCCCCTATCTTGGGAGCGGCCAAGAGGGGGGTGTCCACGAGGGGGGGGGGCAAATCATGACCGGCGGCATGTGCGCGGCCCAGCGGGGGGACCAGGGACGCAATGGAATAAGAAGGGGCGCCATGAAATCTGGGGAAATCTCATGGCCCCCGCCATGATATCCACGCCCCCTAGTCATCACCCCTCTCTTTGCCGGCCCCCCCCATCGCTGCCCCTGATCACCCACCTCCTCCCCCGGGGCCGCCGCGCAACGGCCCGCAGCGCCCGTCGCGGCAGCGAGCGCGAAAGCGCCCCCCCCGCCGGCCCGCACCTCGGGCGCCTCGCCCGCCAAGGGGCGCGCCGCTCGGCCGCCCTCGTCGCCTGGGTCGGCGGCTTCTCGGGGCGGGCCGCGAGTGCCATCAGGGGGGCAGCGCACCGCCCTCGCCCGTGCCGTCGCCCTGGTCCGAAGTCGGGCCTGTTCCCCTGCAGGGGGATTCTGGGCGAAAGCTGACAAAAATACTGCACAAATGCTCCCCCAATGGGGAAACATAGTCCAACAATCGTCCCCATGCTTAAAAAAAACTAGTTTGGAAGATCCCCCCTGCAGAGGGACAGGCCCGACTTAACCCTCGCCCGTGCCGTTGCCCTTGTCCTGCGCCGCGTCGCCCGTCGCGCCGTGCGCCGCCAGGTGCTCCGCGCCGCGCTCCAGCGCCGTCGTCCGCGGTGCCGATCCCGCCCGCGCCCGCCCGCGCCCGCGTCGCCCGCGCGGGTGGCGCCGCCGCAGAGAGGCAACCACGGGCGACGCCGCCGCCGTGGGAGGCGCGGCGGGGATGGGCGACGCGCGCACGCAGGAGGCGCTCGGCCTCGCGGCGCTCGCACGTCAATCCACCAGCGGCGTGCGTTGTCGGGAGAGCGCCATGGATGGCGCCCTGCGGCGCTCGCGCACGGCGGGCATCCCGCGCGCCATTCATCGGGGCGACGGCAGCGGGGCTAGTGACGCCCATCCTGCGCCAAGATGGCCCTGGAGGGAGGGCCATCCCACGGCTTCGGAATGGGCTCGGCATCGCCCACGGCGACTCGAACGCTTGACTGGGAGGGGCCTCCTTGGGCCACCCTCTCGACGGGGTTCGGGCTCCCGAAAACCACGAGGATCTTCTTTGAAGTGTCGGGGCGCCCTGCCGGCATTGGCAGAGGACAGGCTCCGCGGGCAGAATGACATCGGAACTCCCCCAGGCGACTCTCGCGAAACCCTGCGAGGGCGCACTCCGCGCGCCCCGCCGCAAGCACTGCAGGCGAGGACGAAGCTGTCGTCATCCAACCAGTCGCAAGCATGCGGCGAACGCCCGTTGGCTTGGATGGCTGGCTCGGCCAAGGCAGCGGCGCGGCCTGGGCGCCTCTCCCAGGGGGGAGCCCGCAGCCGGCGCGCGTCGAGCGGCGGAGCTGGCAGCGCCGACGGGGCGCCCGCCGCGCCCACTTGAAGCCCGACGTGGCCACGGCGAGGGGCCGCCCTCAGGGGTTGCGGATGCCACGACAATGGGCACCCTAACAGTCCTAACATTGAGCTTGAGATGTGCTTAAAATGTCGGAAGCATGTTCTAGACATGTTCTAAGCATGTTTTTACATGTTTAAAACCTGTTTAACACATGTTTTAGACATCTGGAAATCATTTGGCACCATGCTTCCTCTCCATTCATTGGTCGTCCTCCACAATTCAAGGGGCGGCGGGCGGGGGCGCCGCGGCCCCCGGCCCCGCGGGCCAGCCGCCAGGGTCAGCTCTCAGCTCCGCCACGACCCCTCGCTCGAGGCCGCACCAGCCTTCGGACTCGAGCTCCGCCACGGCTCCTCGAGGCCTTTGCCTCCGACTCCGGGGGGCGAAGGGCTCGAGGCCTCCGCCGACGAGCGAGCCGGCGCGCGGCGCCATGTAATGAAAACATATTATTGCGTTTGCTTCGACCACCTTGAGCGGCTCGCTCCGCTTCGCAGCGGGCCGCGGGGGTCTGGCGGCAGCCATCTGAGCAGCTCCACCAGCGGATTCGCTGCCAACGGCGCGCCCCCCGCTCTCGCTGAGAGGCTCCGACTCCGAGAAGTCCTGGTGAACCTTGGCCCTGGCGGCGTCACAGCCTCCGTCTCCGGCGGCTGCTCCTCGCCTGGCCATCGCCCCAGGCCCGTCCTGTTGATGTTTGCGATTGGCGGGGGCTCCGCAGAGGAGTGAAGGCGCACGACGGCAAGGCCATCTGAATGTACTCAGTACTCTGGTGTTGTGGATGCCATGACAATGGACACTCTAACAGTCCTATCATTGTTGTAAAAATGTGTTTAAAATGTGTAAAACATGTTCTAAAAGTGTTCTGAACATGTTTTGACATTTCAAAAAAAACAGATTTAGCACATCATTTACACATCTGGAAATGATTTGGCAAGATGCTTCCTCTCCATTCATCAACTTCCACAACTCTGGTGGTGCATCGGATATGCCTGGCTGCCGATAAGGCCAGGGGGCTCAGCTGCCGCGGGGAGGTTGGCGGCAGGCCCTAACCCGTTGGCCCGCGCAAATGCGCGGCGGTAGAGCGGTCTGGCCCCAGCCTTACGAGTGCCCAGCCGGGTGCATTCACCCAGAGGTGGCCGCCTTTAGCCGCGCCCCCACGCATCGTGAATGTAAACCTCCCCAGCGGAAGCCTGGGCAGGAGCGAACCTCCATGGGGCCTGGACCCGGCCCGCTCGAGGCCCGGCCCTGGAGATTCCCGGGCCGGATCCGACACGGGGGGGTTCAGGATCGCCGGCGCATTCGGCAAAAGCTGCGGGCTCACTCGGGGCCTCGAGGCCCCCTTCTCCTGGAGACTTGGAGACTCACTTCCCAAAGGCTAGCTGAGCAAGTGCACTGCGTCAGGCGGAGCTCGGCGTCATCCAGAGGGGGGGGGGGGGGCGCAGATGCGCGTGGAACCCGTCTCGTATCCAGCGTTTTGGAATCTCTCGTCAATCCGAATAGATTGGGCTTGCGCCATGCCCTGCTTGGCGCGGGAGCTTTCTGTCTCGCCTGCGCCGATCTTGGCCGCAACCTGCCTGGAGAGTCTGTCCTGCCGCGAGCTGGCCATCGCGCTTCTCAAGTGGGCTGGCGACGCGATAATCAACGGGCATCTCCCCCAGTGAGACGGTAACGAGGCGCACTCCATGAACATCCGATACGTATCAGACCCAGCCACGCTGCGCCATCGGTCCCCGAATGTGGCCCCATCCTCACGGAGGTTTGGAAATTGAAGTGTCAGCGAACTGTCTTAAGTCGGTCAGCTTGAACTTCGCGTTGGCCGGTTGCCGAGAGGCCGCCCAAACAACCAAGCTTCAAAAAGGCACGGTCCAAACCCAGACGTCCAGGTGGGATCCTCTAGGAGCGCCAATGAAAGAGCCCTTGCTATGCCTCAGAACAGAGGGGCAGTGGATTCCAATATATAAAGCAGCTCCCTCGAAACTGGCGTGCCGAGGCTTCCCTTGCTTGCGACCTGGGGTCCGACGGCCAAGGATACCAACTTTCGCTTGACGTTCTGAAGCTCCGCGCGGCCCCCTACCCTGCCAGAGGAGGATGGGGAGGAGGGGGGGAGGAGGAGGAGGAAGAGGAGGAGGAGGAGCAGGAGCAGGAGGAACAGGAGGAGCAGGAGGAGCAGGAGGAGGATCGAGCAGGGGAAGGATCGAGCAGGGGGAGGAGGAGGAGGAGGAGGAGGAGGAGGAGGAGGAGGAGGGAGGCGGACCAAGGAGGGGCACGAGGAGGGAGAGGAGGGGAGGAGGAGGAGGAGGAGGAGGAGGAGGAGGAGGAGGAGGAGGAGGAAGGAGAGGGGAGAAGGAGGAGAGAGGAGGAGGAGGAGGGGGATCAGGAGGAGGATCGCAGGGGGAGGATCGCGCAGGGGGAGGAGGAGGAGGAGGAGGAGGAGGAGGAGGGGAGGAGGGACAGGAGGAGGACAAGGAGGGACGGAGGGAGAGGAGGAGGAGGAGGAGGAGGAGAGGAGGAGAAGGAGGAGGAGGAGGAGGGAGGGGAGGAGGAGGAGGAGGTAGGAGGGACAGACGAGGAGGGAGAGGAGGAGGAGGTGGAGGAGGAGGAGGAGGGAGGAGGAGGAGGAGGAGGAGGACGAGGAGGGGCCGAGGGGGGTAGGAGGAGGAGGAGGAGGAGGAGGAGGAGGAGGAGGAGGAGGAGGAGGAGGAGGAGGAGCAGGAGGAGCAGGAGGAGCAGATGGAGGCGGAGGCGGAGGGGCGTCGGCGCCCCGATCGCCACAGCCGCGGCGCGCCAGTCGCGCGCCTGCCGCGGGGCGCGGGGAGGAAGGAAGCTCGGGCTCGGGCGCGAGACGGATTACAGGGCAATTTTTTTAATCGGGGGTGGACAAACCTCCCTTTAATAAACCTCCCTTTAATGAAAACGGCCTGGGACCGAAACCGGCGGACCTGGACCCGCAAAAACAACGGCCGCGACGCCTCTCGCGAACCGAAAACGGCCAATTCACTAATCGACGTGTCAGGGTAGGAGGTCTAGCAACATCCGATTTAATACATAGGATTTTTTTTATGGGATTTTGATGCATGCTTGATTTGCGAATAAATGTATGCATGAACCCATCGTTGTTTTCGATACGAAGCCCTGCATTCTGAAGACATGATCCGCACGCGGAGCATGTATTAAAAACGGCACTGTACTCCGGATGTCATAATAAACACCCCCCGTGCCACGGCGGCCGCTTCGCCTGTCCTCTTCCCGTGCTTCGCGGCCACCCCGTCTGTCTCTTGCCTCCCCCTTGCACGCCAGCCAATGAAGCGCATCGGTTGCCCCGATCGCCCGCCCGCTGGAGCAGCACTTCTGCCTCGCCGCCGATGGAAAACAGGTCGGCGGCGAGGCAGAAGTGCTGCTCCAGCGGGCGGGCGCTCGGGGCAACCGATGCGCTTCATTGGCTGGCGTGCAAGAGGGAGGAAAACGACAGGCAAGGCGGCCGCGAAGGACGGGAGGAGGCGGAAGGCACTCAGACGCGGAAGAATCCCGGGACGGATTTCAATCGAAACGCTGTCATAGGGAATCCAGAATAAGGAACGAGGTCCCTTCATGAGTTTAACTTCGATCTTCCATCCGAAAAGGAATCACTGAGACAACCTGTCAACCAGTTAAGGAACACTGAGCCCATCCCCAACGAAAGGGGCCTTCTTCAGCGGCCCGACTGCATGAACTGATCATAGCCTTCGGTTTCTGCGGCGGCTATGAGCTGCCACAAGACCAAACAGCACTAAACCGACGAATGATTGTTTATCACCGCACACCGATGCGGCCGTGACCCCAGGGCCCTGTCGGCAAGGGTCTGGCCCAAAACGGCAGCCGGAAGGTAATACTATGCCCTGTGGCTCTACGTGCTGGACATACTGCTGTGCTGAATCATCAATTCACGCTGCACCACGGACGGCGTGCGCCTCGCGTCCGTGAAAGGGGTTCGAAAAGACACTTACCCGACGCGGAGATCCCCACTCGTGCAGCTCATTTCCTGGCACGTCCCGCTGACCACTTATGAATCGACCGCGTACGCGCTCTTACATCGAAAAAGATTTGGAAACAAAATTCTGTGCGTGGAATTCATGGCGACGGCGGTGCTCTCACCGTTGTTGTGTGATTGCTTCCGTCTAGCGTAGCCGCAGACCATAACGGTGGCGCCGTTGGTGCCCTTCCTAACATCGCAGACGAGTTTGATACAGGTAGGTTTGGCAGAGACTTCCCGTGGCGGGGGCCACGCCGGCCCAGTGGCGTTGCCGTCGTATAATTTTGGCGGCTTGGTCGTGGATTGGCAAATTCTGTGCCCCCATTGAGCTTGTATCTCCGATTGGACCTGGTTAGTGTGGGAGAGCGCCTTGTGCGCGACCATGCTGCACGCATTATCTGCGATGCCTCCCTGCGCGCGCGGAGCGCCGCCGAGGGGCGAGGGGCCTGCGATGTAAAGCTTTTCGGGGTTTGGCGGCGCTCTCGTTTAGGGCATTTAGGACATTCGCAGATCCCAGCGATTCACTTGGCGATGAAATGGGCGTCGGTGCCAGCGGCGTTTCCTTGCGCTGGCGTCTTCGCCGCGACGGGTCGACCCAGCCCGTCGGGGAGTTGCCGCGGCCTGTGCATTCAATACCAAAGGTCCGCGCTACAGCGCGCGTTTTTTGAATTAGCTCAGTGATCCAACGTTCTAGGCGTGCAATGATTGTGTCCGTTTCGCTCAAACAGAAATATCATGCATCATCCCATCCGGACCCATCATGTTCATCATCATTTCCAGCCCTCTCTTGTCAATCCGACTTGCTCACTCATTCCTTGTTTTCGTTTATCATTGTCCTTACCCTCATCCCTCTATATTATCCGTTCCCCTCCCTCGCCCTGGCCAATTGCTCCAGGGTCCGAAGTGACCGAGGGTTGCAGCGGCGACGCCTTCCCCCGTGTGAATGCGAAGTAGGGGGTCGTCACTTTCTCTGTCGTCGCCACGTCGATGTTTAAACTGCCATCGTCACTGCGATTGCCGTTATCATTCGCATAGCTGTTTCAGGTTGGCAGACGCAGGTGCGCAGGCATTGTGATTTACTGCTCCAGTAACACCCAGCAGGGAAACAACCACCGATGGCCGCTCAGTCGAAGATGCGCGTCAAAAAGGGGGACTCCAGGGTCACCAAGGACGGCAAGGTCGTTGACAAGGCGGCCCTCACTCGTGCTCGGAAGTCTCTTTCGCAGACAGATAAAATCGCATTGCAATGGATCAACGACTACTTGGCCACCCACCGCGCGCAGATATTGCAGACCAAGGCCAACCTTGAGTCTGGCCAGGTCGACTGCCAGGTTGAAGACCAGCAGCTTGACATAAAAGATCGTCCGTACTTCCCCGATTCGTACATGCACTTCGGGCAGTTGCCGGCTTGGTGGTGTGCGGACTTCCTGCACGAATGGTTGGGGTACCCCCAGTCGCTTTTGGACAAAATGGACGTGGCCAACACGGTGAAACCTACCTTCACGTACATCACGGGGCTGGGCGACGGCCAGTATTGGCCGAGGCCGTGCTTGCAGAAGCGGGTGCTGTACCTTTTCGCCATCGCGATGGCGGAGAAAATGGGCAACCGGCAGGAGCAGTTCAAGGCAAAGATCGGCCAGGATGGCTCCGTGGATTTCGTGAAGCACGGCCCCTTCGAGTACTTTTTCGGTGCCGCGGTCGGGGAGGCGGAGCCTGTGCTCGAGCGGATCGTGCACAAGGGCACTTCGATCGAGGCGCGATCCCGCCGAGCCTGCCTGCCCGCATTTTGAATATTTCTGTCGTTGCTCGGGGGGCCGCCCCATTATCGAATAGGGGGAGGGGGTACTCATGCGCCACATCTTGTCCTGCGCCCTCTTGCATTGGCGTTATTTTTGCGCCAGATCCTTATTCCCCGCGGGGTGTTCGCAACCCCAGCCGGCCTCGTTCAATCTGCCCCTGGGGTTTTGCTTGTCCTCCTCCCCCATGCCTTGCCCTCTTGCCGACCCCCTGCATGCCGTCTGACGTCCTTTTCAAAACAGGTTCGGCGGGTTCCCGAGTCTCGGCGCAGGCGAAGAACCTCCCCCTCCGCATCGACAAGGGTTTCAAATGCACTTCGCCGTGGAGCGATGCAAATGCTAAGTTCGTCGGCACCACCAGGTGGAAACCTTGCGTTCACGAGCTCTTCAATGACCCCCCGTTCATGGCGCATCTCGACAAGAAGGTGCTGTCGACTTTGGCGGACACTGTGGTGTCTGCCAACGCAGCACTCCTCACCCCGAAGAAGAAGACAGTGGTCTTGAGCTCCAAATCGGCGGCCAAGGCCGCGAAGGCGAAGGCGGTCGCCAAAGCGCGCGTTCCGCTTGCTAAACTTGCGGTCCCGTTCTCTGCGTGATTTCGCGGTGTGCGCGCACGGCCGCGCGAGAGCTTGCCTGCGCGTGCCGTTGCCGAGCCGACTTTAACGGCTGTTTTTCGGGTGCAGGTCAGCCTGCAAACTATTCGGGGGTAAGTGGGGGCTCTCTATGCTAGAGCCTTCATTTGTTCGGCTTCGCAATGCAAATTGTACGCACTACGTGTTGGTTTAGTGCCTGTGGGAGGCCGGGCTCAGATCGCAGGGGACCTTTTGAACGCTACGTCAGACCAAACAGGGAAAAACTCGATCGTCCTCATCGTGATCACCATCCTGCTAGTCATCACCACCCCTTCTCCGCATGAAATAGTAGCCAGCGGCCTCCACGCAACGCAGCTTCTGGAGGATTCGTTCAACACGCAAAAGGCCATGGTTCGGCAGAGGGTCACCCACAGGGTTGACGACGAAAACGCTTACTTCGCCCTCTTGCACACGGAGAAGGGCGTCCAGAGCAAGCACCATTACGATGCGCCGAAATTGGGTTCCGTGGCAGAGGTGGACAACGACCTCTTGAAGGAGTCCGCGTTCCATCCTAGCCCGGGCGATGCGTGGCGAGAGTTGGATAAGATAGTGGGGCGGAAGCAGGAACCCTCATGGCACCATCCGGCGGCGGGCGCGCAGAACTTCACGATAGCAGAGCTCTTGTGGTTGGAGGCAGCGTTGCCGTTGGTGCCCGTGCCAAAGCCCAAGGAGCAGTCTGTGATGGCGGGATTGCTGAGCGGTCGCCATTTGATCGTTCGGGTCGGGGATTCGGAACAGAGGCTTCTTGTGTTGAAGCGCGCGTGTGACTTGTCCTTCTTCGGGCGGCCCGTCCAGCGCAAGGAGATCGAGGGGCACCCGGGCTCGCACTGGTATGAGCTGCAGCCGTCCGGCGAGAAGTTGCACATGATCAACATGTTGGACCACGCCCGCATAGAGGCTGAAGAGTACGAGTGGTGGAGCCCCATGCACCAGCGCGTCAGGTTCCCAAACAGCGGGATAGCGATGGGCCCGCAGCAGCGCCCCCGCGCAGTCAAGGTTGCAGGCCCCCTTTCTCTCAAGGAGCTTGCAGCTCGGAGGGCGTTCTTCTCGCTGTCGAAGAGCTGGTGCGTTGAGTTCGGCAAGCTTATCGACGTAGAGGTCGCATCCACGGACCATATGTGGGACGTGCTAGCAACGCTCATCTGCGCCGTGGTGCCCGACCTCACTGACGACGGCCTTCTTGAGATCATGCACAGGCGCTGCTTCGATGCCACCCAAGATTCCAGCCGCCAGGATCTACGTCTCGCGGAAGCCTGCAGGGATAACTTGACGAAGGACGAGCGGAAGATCTTGGATGCCACTTCGAAGGCCGCGAATAGCGTTAGATCCGCAATCATGGAGACTTGGGACGTCGTCGCC